GGGGGGGGGGGGGGGCAGCAGCTCATCAAGCCAGTCCGTATTCCGCGTCCAGTCAGAAGATGAAATAAAAATATGCCTGTCATTTTGACTATAAGATTTCCCTTTGTTTTGCCCTTGTTTGGTGCCCTTGAAGGAAAACACAGTGTGTGCTCAGTGTCTGATACATGTCACGGGTGGGGGGGCGGTTTGCGATAGAAAGGAGCCAAAGAGCTTCCTGGGGTTTCTCCGCATTCGTTGCTTTGGCCCAGCATAAAAACTCGCAGGCATCCTAACGTTTGGAGAAGCAGCAGAGGTTGGCCTGTATGTAGTACTGAAATATCAGGGAACCAACAAGGCAAGAAAACCTGCCTCTAAGGGAGTATATGGTCAGATGCGCGATGTGTTGCATAAGCCCACTAACATGGCCCTAGATTTTATTGGTGATCTTCGTGAAAATTTTTTTACTTAGGCAGTGAAATTATGTCCTGTAAATAATCTTTGTTCTAGACGAACATTCCTCTTACCCTTACCTAGCCCCAACACACACACACACACAGTCACACACTGTAACCGGGAACTGCCCGTCTCTGATTTTACCCCGTCATGCAGGAATGTGGTTCACGCTCTGGGTCGGTGTTGGGAAAGGAGGCTCTGAAGACAGGCTGGAGGGGAAGCCAGGAAGGCCGGCCCTTGGTCTCTGAGACGATGAGCCTTTCGTTCCAGAGCGTGCCTGTGTCACAGCCTTCTGTTTCTGTCTGTGCTCCCTGCAGTTAAGATCCTCCTGTTCTACGTGATATTTTACGGCTGCCTGGCCGGCATCTTCATCGGAACCATCCAGGTGATGCTGCTCACCATCAGCGAGTTCAAGCCCACCTACCAGGACCGAGTGGCCCCCCCAGGTAACAGGAGGGTCAACACGTTCAGTTCTTCGGAGGTAAAATGGGTGTCACTTTTTCACTCGAAAAAAAAAAGCCACTTTTCTGAGAACTGCCTGTAATGCAGAATTAGATTGAGCTTGTTTTCATAGGAGAAGCGGGACCTGCTCACGATGGCGGCGGCTCTCCTGCCCGCATTGCAGGCGTCCGGGCGCTGCAGATGTCTTGTCGTCGTAGCTCTGCAGCGAGGGCGAAGAGCCCTGGTCTCCCCCGCACCCGAGCCTGCACCCACCAGCCTGTGACTCGCGATGAGGCGCCCTCACTGCCCAGGGGGTTGCTTTGCGGGGTCGCCACAGGGCCGTTCCAGCTCAGGCACATCTTTCACTTTCTCGAGGGGCCTGTGACTCAAGCAAATCCTTAAAAAAAAAAAAAGCCACTTCAGCTCCTGTTTTGAGGGATGAAGTTATTTTTAGGGATGATGAGAAGCTCTGACATGGCCGATTACTCACGGGAGAGGAGCCGTGGCTTCAGGAGTCCGCTCTCCCACCGGCTGCTGACATGGCTTAGTTTAACCTCCAGCAGCGGCAGCAGCTTCTCCTGTCTCAGCATTCGTGCCCACTGGCTTCGTAGGACTCTCACCTGTTGGCTTTCTAGACCCATTTTGCAGTTCTGCTGTCTCTTTGAGCTCTGAAAACTTGGATGATCAAGAGAGGTCACTCCAGAAGGAAGAAAATGCCACAAGGGCGCCCTGCTGTGATCTGGGTGCTGTCACTGTTGGGTGACATGCACCTCGTGTGCAGCTGTGCGTGTCCATTCCAGTCACTGACCCCCCAGGGAAAGCCCGCTGCCCTTAATGCCTGAGGCCAACAGAAGGGCAGGGCAGCAGGGCAGCTGTCGACCTGGTCGTGGTCGCTGGCTCTTGTAAAATTCATTATCAGGAGGACCTAGAGACAGGAGATGTTGCATAAGTTCCGGGTTCTTGCATTATGAATGACCTTGAGGCTGCCACTGGGGGTGGTGATGACGTGTCCCCTCTCCACTTTCCCTGGTAGTGGTTTCGTAACAGCTGTATTTAGGTGACAATCTTGAGGCTGTCTTCATGGCACTGAGCAGCTTTGACCACAGGCACCAGGCCGGCAGCCTCACTCAAGTGTGGCCGCTTGTCGCAAGCTTGCTCTGTCTATCTCCTGGCTCTGGTGTGAGAGACCCGGAGGAAAATCTTCGGAGTATGGAGGTGGCGAGCATGGTTCCCTGGCCCCAGGCCCCATGGTCCTCCACTGTAAGGAAACCCTGAGCATTGCCAGATAAACTTAGATCTAGGGGATTTTGGGAACGGGGTGGGGGGTGGAAACAAACATGAGAGTATATAAAACAACTTCAACCTGGTTAATGATCCACAGTTCCCAGCAAGTAGTTCCCCAAAGAGGCGGGTCTCTGGGAAGGCTGGAGCAGAAACTCTCCGCGTGCACAGAGCATGCGGCACCTTGAGTAAACAGACTGGACGCTGGCTTTGTGACCGTGAAGCCTGGCGTGTCCTTTCCTGTTAGATTTTGGAGGCGTGTGAGTAGACGTCATCACGTTGGTGTCGATCTTTATTTTCCTCTTGTTTAGCCATTGAAAAGCTGTTCTTGAATCATGATGCCGCATCATAAAGATTCTTATGCTCAAAGCCAAGGCTGCCCGAGGAGCCAAGCATTTAACTTCCTAGATGTAAAGCATTGCTTCTTGTCTCCAAACTGTGGGGGGTCAGCCTTTAATAAAAGTAAAAATTTTCTCCGTGTTCTTTGCAGAAAGGGCAATTCCACTTTCAAAGAGAAAAGGCTAAAAAAAGAAAAGAAAAAAAGCTGAAGTGCCAGACCTTTTAAGTGGGGACTTGCCAGTGACCTTGCCTAGAAGACCTGGTGGAGGGGCTCAGCCCTGCCAGCCCCCTCTCCCAGCCTCCCTCCCCTTCCTCCCAGCCCCTTCCTAAAAGACACATTCTCAGTACCTATATTTAGTGTCCTTAGCCGTTGGACTGACCTGACAAACCGTCGCTTCTCCGAGGAATGCTGGTGTCTCATCGTGGAAGTATGCACTCCTGCTTCAGCCTGAGTCGCAGGAGAAGCGCTTCCTCAGCTCCCCCCGTCCTGCTGCCTGGGTCCTTTGTCTTCGTTATGTCTCTTTCTCCTCCTCCTCTTGTCCACCACCTTGCCAGGAGAGTCTGGGCAGGGGCCACTGTGCTCTTGCCCTCCCAAGGGACGTGACTGTCATTTGAAAAGCTGGTGGCCTTGGAGCAGGGGGGTCAGGTGAGCAGAGCCATGAAATGCAGCCCGGGACTGTCCCTAGATGCTCTGAAGGCCCCTCACTGGGCCCTCGCTCTTGTGGTCTGTCAAGAGCATGGGTGGGCCGTGCCCTCTCTCTGCGGACCCAGCACACTGGAGGAACACCTCGGCCACTGCATGTCGTGTCTCCAAGCGTCCACATTTGCAAGTGGCGGGGGGTGGGGGGACTTGCATGTCTCAGTCAGATGAAGCTACCGAGTGGAAGGTTCGGTGATGTTGTTAGTAGCTGAACTGGGGGCGCGGGTACAGACCCGGCCTGACTGGGGATAGACTGCATTTTGTCCACCTGGTAGCTAGATCTCTGCTGAACAGTGTGCAAAGGTGTCCGCCTCGAACAGCGGCGGTTGTGCAGTCCGTTTGGGCCTGTCTGTGGTACTGGGTAAGCAGGTGGGCTGAACGGGAAGGTCTCCGAGAACAGACTAAGTCACAAAATGGAAGGGAAATTTAAGGGGGAGAAAAAAAGCCTAAGGAGCAGTTTATGGGCCTGAGTGCTGGTGGCACTGGAGGCCGTGATCTTCCTGATAGAGTCTCCATGGCTCTGGGACGATGGCACGGGTCGCCCCGCAGCCCCAAGGGCACAGGGCCAGCACCTCTTCTGTGACAGAAACCGACAAATCGTTCTGTCTATGGGTCACGGATGGTTGTTTGTTGGCTGTGTGACGTGGCTTAATGTGAATATGAAAGCCCCAGGCTCGCGAGCCACTGCACGCGTGTCTGCCATGAAGCCGCGTGAGCAGGGGAGAGCCGGACGCCGTCTGCACCGTCCGTGCCTGGTGGACCGCGCGAGGTCTCCGTCGTCCCGTCTGCGGAATGGGCGCAGTGCCGTGCGGACGTCACGGGATGGGAGGCGGGTGGGAGCGGAGAGTGGCCAAGCTAATGGCATGAAGCAAAGGGCTGTCAGCAGCCACCTCTCTTCTTGCAGCAGAGGCCGCGGTTCGGTTCCCAGGACTGAACCCGTTTCTGCACCGGGGGCTTTGGACAGCGCAGCAGGGCTCACACACTCGGTGGTTGTTCACAAGGTGAACAGCCTCTCGGCTTCACCACGGAAAGCGTTTGGGAGAAGCTGGATTAGGAAACATGCTTGAAGATATTTTAAATAAATGTGAGTGACACCGTATTTGTCACGCAGTCGGTCCCGTTAACACCCACACCGGCCGGGTCGGCCGCGCCAGGCTGCGCTCCGTGGTGGACGCTCCTTGGGAAGGCCCGGCGGCCGCATCTCCTGCCTGCTCACGGCTGGACCTGGAGGGGGGCACTGCCCTCCCCGGCCGCCATCGCTGAGCCCCAGGGGGGTGACAGCACAGTCCCTGCGCGTCATTGGCGCCCAGGGAGATGCCAGCTGCCTCGCTTCCTGCCGAGCAGCTCTGAGTGCGCTCCTGTCCTTGCTCCTGAGTCGCGTGTTGCTTCGGGTTCTGTCCCGAAGGGAAGCCGGCACCGTGTGGGCAGGATGCCCGCTCAGAGCTTCGTGCCCTCGGAGCGTCCGACTTCGTCTCCGCTCGGGTCGTGGTCTCGGGGTTGTGAGGTCGAGCCCCAGTCCTGCTGCACGCCCAGCGCGGCGCCTGCTTGAGACTCCCTCCCTCTCCCTGCTCGCTCGCTCTAAAATTAAAAAAAAAACAAAAAAAAAACTCGTGATCGTACTGCCAAGGAAACCAGACTTGAGGAGGGAGGGTGGGGGTGCAGCCCGGCAGGCCGCCGCCGCACCAGCAGTTTCGGTCTCCCCTTGACTGTGCGAGGGAGTATCCTGTCTTCTGTTAGGGTACGAGGCGTTGCAGTTCGAATCTAGGCGGAATTAAGCAAAATTCTTTTTTTTTTTTTTTTTAAAGATTTTATTTATTTGACAGAGATCACAAGCAGGCAGAGAGACAGGCAGAGAGAGAGAGGGAAGCAGGCTTGCCACGAGCAGAGAGCCCGATGCGGGGCTCGATCCCAGGACCCTGGGATCGTGACCCAAGCCGAACGCAGAGGCTTTAACCCACTGAGCCACCCAGGCGCCCCTTAAGCAAAATTCTTACATCTGTCTCAGGTGCCTAGTTTCTCAAACCGTCACTTGCATTACTCTCACATTTCAAAGGGAGAATTGGAAACGTTGGGCTTCCTTCTAGGCTGGAGGGATTGTTATTTCAAAGTGCTCATTGGGTGTTTTTGGTTTTGCTTTTGTTTTCCTTTGCTGTCTCCATTCGATCCCTCTGATTTGTACTCTGAGCTGACGTGCTAAAGGCTCAGTGCTCCCCAGGCCTGCTGCCTCCCACATTCTCCCTCCTCCTCCCTCCCCAGCCTCAGAGGGCTCCTGCCAGCTCACTCCCAGACTCCGTGGCTCTTGTTGGGCTCGCCCTGGTTGCTGTTGGGATTTTCTCATTCTTCAGAGAGCGCCAGCCCCGCTGTGTGGCGTCTGCAGCTCACCAGCCCATGTGGCTATTTCTTCCTTTGTAAAGACTAAGATAAAACTAATCAGTTAGCTTTTGGGGACACAGGAAGCCTCATGATTAACTTAGCGATGTTCCTGGAGCCCCAGAAAAATAAGTCTGACTCTGGGGGCTCCTTTGTGGTAAGTGAGCAGAGCACAGGCCTCTGACACCTGGGACTGGGTAACAAATTCCATGCATGGAGGGGTAATGGGGAAAAATGCTAAATCTGTGAAATTTCTTTGAGAGGTCTTTGTAGTGGAAGATGTTGTAGAAGGAGCATTGGCATGCCAGCCTCTGT